TCACCCCAGAGCACGTACCCTTGCTCACACACATGCACATGCACACGTGTATGCACACATTTGCACATATGCACGCACACACTCACACGCACATGCATGGCCCCTTTGATCTCCAAAGGGGCTCCATTGACAAGCTCTTAATCGCAGCTGCCCGTGCAAGGTCTGTGCTCTGAAGTCCCGAGTAATGGGATTTGGCGCGTCTGATCCATCTAGGCTGGCTGCTCCCTGTTATATAGGTGGACAGTTTTTTCTGTCGCTTTTTTTCCCCTTCTCAAAAAAATGCTCCTTAACCACACTGACTTGACACGGCTTGTCGCTGAGCCCAGGCACGGTGGCCAGAACGCCAGGGCCCGGGCCAGTTGAAAGCCTTTGATGCCGCTTCTGTGTGAAGTCTGACGTGAGAGACCTACCAGGGCGGTTTTTGGGTCCGTGGTGCAGTGGGATTCATCTGCCTCCTGTGGTTTCCTTTGTCTCTTCCCCTGACCCTTCCTTGGGACATGTGGGGAGAGGGCCCAAGGGTGAGGGTGCGAGCGTGTATATGTGTGTGTGTGTGTGTGTGTGTGTGTATGTGCATGTGCGCGCACAACGGAGGGTGGGTGGGCCCAGGGAAGGGCCGCAGCCACAAGAACAATGGGCTGCAAGACCACGTCCGTCCACCTGTCGGCCTGTTCATCCATCCATCTGTCCACCCGCCTGGCTTACCTCACCTGCCTGGCTCCATACGCCTGCTCGCGCCCCACTGTCCTGCTGTCCGCCATGATGGGCTCAGCCGGCTGTCCACTTCCAGCCACTCCAGGAAGCGGGTCCCTGCTCTTGGCCACTGTGTGGCTGGGAGGCAGAAGCGGGACTCTAGGCTGCAGCTCGGGCTCCCGCCGCCGATTGGCTGAGGCAAGGACCAGATGACGGGCCTCGGAACCCTATGGTAGCCATGGCAACCAGCCCCTTTAGACACCGCCACCCCCAAGCCACTCCTGACTGCTGAGGGAGCAGGCGGCGCCGCCAATGGGCCCATGCCAGGGTCCTGTTGGAGGGGCGATCGGGTGTGGCTGCATGGTAGCTGCTCCCAAACCAGCTCTTGAGCATTTGCCTGTGTTTCATGCATGTCCAGTGTGAAAGGGGCCTGTCCCTCTCATGGCTTGTCTCTGGTGCATATAGGAACAGTTACCTTGCAGTCCCTTTGCAGCTCTTGCTGAGAGTAGGACTTCAGGTCAGGCTTGCCCCAGGGGCTGAGAAAGCCAGGCCCAATCTGGTGAGAAAATAGTGAGTGGGCAGTGGGAATAAGAGCAAGGAGAGCTTCCCAACCTAGGTGGGCAAAGTCAAGCTGTCAACCTACTTCAGACAGCCAAGAGCCTGCCAGCTTAACCATGCCTGCACATCACTCTGCTCTACCCTCACAGGCCATAGCCTGTTGAACGCATGGACCTATGGTTGCAATTCCCTCCCAAGAGCCTTCCAAGGTCACCAGCCTGCCCCTACTCCCTATGGACCTTGAGTCTCCACCAGGCAGGACTCTGGGGCCTGAGCACATTCAGCCACACACTGGACTGTGCCTGTTCTCCCCATGGCTGCAAGCCCTCTGGAGTACAGAGCACTCCTTGCCTGCAGAGCCCATCTGCCCACATCAGCCCTTAGCAAGGCTTTCTCGATATCCCACATAAACCCTGGTCTCAGCAAGAGTGTCACAAACCATTCCTTCATGGACTGATCATCTTGGGAGCTGCCTTGGAGCCAACTCAACCCTGTCTCTGTGACAATCAAAACAGCCTGTCCTGTCCAAATGCCCCGGAAATTACACCACCTGGTCAAGCATCCTTTAAACGCCTCCTGAATGCCCTCGAAGCCTCCATCCCACTTTCTGGCTCAGGAACATTTGCTGAGCAGAATGATCAGTTCTAGGGCTAAAAAGCAGGTACAAGCCTGAGTTATCAGGAAGAAGCCAGGGCTGCAGCAGACCCAGGAGGCTTGTGAGGTCACAGAGGTGGCCTCTACCCAGGCCAGGGCCTAGGAATGGGGGGGCTGGCATATGAGTCCTGAGGCTCCTACATCCGAGGCAGCAGGCTCAGGGGTGGCTGGGTTGGTCCCAGAGAAGTAGGCTCAGGATGGATGTGGCCACTGCTGGTTTGAAGCTATGGCCAGTCTGGGCATCAGGACTTCAGCTACTTAACTGGCCCCTGGATTTGGCCTGACCTGAACCCAGCCTGAGCAGCCCTGTCACAGAAAGAGCCCTGGACTCAACCAGCCTCCCCCACATGCTGGAGCCACCAGCAGACAGGTGTAGTCCTCGGGCAGGGTGTGTATGGGGATGCTGGCCCAAGCCAGCTGGTAGTGGTTGAGAAGATGTGCCCATTCTGGGGCATGGCATGGGCTGGGAGAGGCTGGGGTGCCTTGCACCAGAGGCAGCCAGGATGATGTGGGGCCCATGCTGCAGGGTAAGTTCAGTGGGCCCAGGGTTCCAGCTTGGGTCTGGCTCACAGGGACTAGAGGGAGCCTGGGGACTCCACATGACCTGACCCCGTCTGAAGGTAGTGGAAAGTTCCTACCTTATCAGAGACTGTGGTGGCACAGGCAAGGGAGGAGGCGTCAGAGGACATGAGGTGGAGGTTTGACGTGCACAGGTGGGTGTGACATGTGGATGGACCTCATGTTGGCTCCCTGGGCTGCCAGTGCACACAGGGCGCACTAACCACCCCACGTCCACTCCACCCCAGCTGGCACCAAACCTGCCTTCCTGGCCTTGCCTGTCCTATCTCTAGGTGGAGTGATGGGTCACCTCTTCCTGGGCCTCCAAAGCTCAGCCGCAGCAGCAGTGAGGGTCCACTCTGGTACCCAACCTCTTCCACACCTACAGCCCCTTTGACACTGACCTCAGGCTCTGCTGTTGTAAAAACATATGGACTCAGTCAGTCCCAGAACACAAAGGGGTGTCTTGGCCCCTGAGGGCTGGTCAGGTCCAGCTGATGCAGGGCCAGGGTGTGGGCCAGCACAGGGCAGCTCTGCCTTCTGCAGGTTTGATCTTGGTCAGCACAGACCTCTCCATGGCAGGCCCTCAGCAGGAAGAAGGCTGGCAGGTGTAGTCCAGGGGCACAGAAGGGAGGGTGGAGGAGGGCAGGAGGCATGGGCAGGGTCATCGGGGGCCACAGCTCTGTTCCTCGTTCCTTACCTGTGCAGGTCCATGTGTGTATGTATGTGAGAGTGTCTGAGGGGATGCAGTCCCCATGTGCCCACAAGCTCAGAAGGCAGCAGCATGGCCAAAGGCCCAGACCCAGGTTAGTTTCACCGAGGACCACTATCCTTTTCTGAGTCACAGACATCTGTGAGAATCTGATACAGCTGACGCTCTCTCCCACCTTAAAAAGGCTGCTTTGGATGTAAGCCAAGGTCACACCCAGCACCTACTTCAGTTGGGTCTGGCCTCCCTGAGGGGAGTAGGAACAGCCTCGGACTCCTGGAGGCTGTGTGCCCCCTTCTGCCACAGCCTTGCAGTGGCTGGCCTCCATAACCTGATAAGCTCTCGGGCCCAGAGCCACAACCCCCAGTCAACTCTGGCAGGACATGATGCTTGCCTGCCCAGTCTGCAAGGCCTGCAGCCCCACCTGACCCCTACCCTGCTCCAACCACATGCCCCTCCAAGCCAGCCTGACCCCAGAAGCCCCATGGACTGACACAAGAAACCCCACCGTCCTGCTCGCCTGGGGGCCTGGTTGTGGTTAAAGGGCAGAAAGTGAGCAGGGCCCAGTCAGCAGGCTGGGGACATCCTGGCACTTCTCCAGCAAGGGCCTAGGCCCAGCCCCAGCCCCAGCCCCAGGCATGAAAACAGCAGGACTGGGTGGCAGGCCCAGAATACAACAAATCTGGCTGGAGCCAAAGACCTCAGTGCCACATCTATGGCTCAGACAACTGGGCAGAGCCTTGTGGGAGGGCAGGAGCTGACCAAGCACTGTCTGTTTTGGGAAAAATTTTTTTTTTTTTAATTATGCACAAAAGAGGTGTGTTATGTGACACTGATAATGTAGGAAGCACCAGGACACTTGGGGACAGACTGAGATTCTGGGGGTACATCCCTTGGGCTGACCCCAAACCAGGCCCCAACCCTCACAAAACCCTTTATGGGCTATGGAGCCTTCCAGACCTTCCTGTCCCTGCAGGGCCAGCTACATGTTCCCTTTGGATTCTGTGCTGTAAGCAAAGCCCAGGCATGGGTGCTCCCACAGCACCCTGGGGAGCCCCCTGCTCCTCAGCCAGTGGCCTCTGATGTCCCCTCTCTCTTCTTGCACCAGCTATGGCCAGGGTATGGTGCTGAGGACATGCACCAGCACCTCTTCCACACACAGCCTGGGGAAAATGCTCCCATGGTCCCTGAGAGAACTGAGGTGCCTCAGTGCTCAGGGCTTTCAGGGAAGGATAGGTTCACACCAAACCTCACAGTGCCTGATTCAGCTTCCACCTCAAGCCATAACCCCAACCAGCAGGATGGGTGGGGGTTGCTAAGGAAAGAGAGGCACTGAGGTGGCAGTCCCTAAGTCTGTGTACTCCCCACCTCCTGTATGATCACAGAAGTTGGTGCTGACGTGCCCACCTATAATCCCAGCTACTGAGGAGGCTGAGGCAGGATGGTTTCCTGTGGTACTAGGGATTGATCTCAGTACCACAGGAAAAAAATTTAAAAGCTGCCCTCAGCAGCCCCTCCAAGTTCCTGCAAAGCACAAAGAGGCCCTCCTCAGTCCCCAGAGCCACCGCAGCGTCCTTTCCATTGCTCTGAAGAACATTCTGTAACAGGCAGGGATAGGCAATGAGAGGTGACAAGTACACTCCTGTTACACCCAGACACTTTAACTACTTGGGACCTCCTCCCAGAGTAAAGAAAGCACCAAACTAAAGCATGATCACCATGGCTCAGTGGAGATGGCAGCTAGAGCCACAGGTGTACACAGCCCACACTGGGTCTCTGGGGCAGGGGTGAGGGAACTCCAGTACTCCAAGCAAAGAAACACACCCACACAAACAGCTTAGCTCAGACTTTACTCACTCAATCCTACAGGCATAACCAATGCTGCCCAGCATGTGCCCCCATCTGGGCAGGCCCTCTGCTTGGAACCAGGCCTTCTGGGGAACTTGGGATGAAAGGCCCCTCAGACCTCCAAAAAGCCTACCCCAGAAGCTCTGTGATTACTACACAAGAACAGGGTTCACACTGCTCACAGGTGGTCCTTATGGCCACCCCAGACTCTGTCCACACTGCTAAAACGCTCACAGGGGAAAGCTATGCCTGACGATCAGAAACAGGAGGGCTTGTGATCACTTCCTGCTGGCTCTCTTCAGTGCCACTGCGGGCTCCAATAGCGCCTGCTGTCGAAGCTGCTCAACCAGCTCCTCTACGTAGACCTTGAACAGGGGTACAGGGTCCTAAAGGGAAGAGGCTCATGGTGAGCTCATGGTAGCCTAGAGCAACTGGGCCCCTGGGGTGGGAGGGAACCAGCCACCCCTGGCCAGACATCCAGGGGAATTGGGCATGACAGGACAGGGCCTTCAGGCTCCATCACAGAGTCATGCCAACTTGCTTGCCAACCTGGAGGGCAGAGCCCACCCAAGAGACAAGGTTTCTCTCCCTGGGAGTTGCAGGAGTTCCATGCCCACCCCTAGCTTCCTTGTGGTCTCAGATAAACTGAGCAGAGGGAATGGGACAACCAGCTGATATGCTGCAGGAGGACCCCATCCTGGAACTACAAGACCCTCCCAAGAAGAGCCTGGGGGATGTTGGGTGGCCCAGCTAACACACAGCGCCAAGTCCTATTCCTCCCACTGAGAGGCTGGTGCAGGAGAGAGAAGGATCCCAAGGGGCAGATGCCTGCCATGCTTCTCCCAGGCACAGCTGGAGTGAGTTCTCCTCCAGGCTTTCCCCGAGATGGCACCCCCACACTCCTCCACCTGTGGCGCCAGAGAGGCCAGCAGGGCTGGGGCACACTCGCGAATACCTTCTCCTCCAGGAGCCTCTGCTTCTCCACAGCCTCCTCCAGCGTCAGGCCCACCCACTCAGCCTCTTCCTCTGGGATGGCAAACTCCTGTGCAGGCAGAGAGAGGGCAGTGAGGTGGGGCTGGCTAGGGGCCACAAGCAGCAGGAAGGATAGGATGGGGAAGCCTTTACCTTGTACTTGTGGTAAATGGCTGCCCTCTGCTCAGGGTCATCAGGGTGCAGTGCCGGGTCCTGTCGGGCAAGCCTCAGCAGCATTGCTCGCTTCAGGTCCATCCCAAACTTAGAGCACAAGTCCTCCTTCGGGGTCTGGCGGAAGGCTCACATGGGACCAGGTGCTGACAGCAGGGCCCCATCCACCCTGCCAGCCAGCCCTGTCAGGCTTCTAGCCAGAGCAGGCCAAGCGTGGTGGACAGCACAAGCACACAGGCCTGGGTGAATGAGGACAGAAGCAATTCCAAGAGCAGGAAGGAGGTGGCCACACTCACTCAGGCCCCTTGGACAGGTCAGCTACCCACAGTGAGTGACTCTCCTGTGGGCAGGAAGCTTCAAGGGGCCCAGTCACACTTGTTTTACCAGTGACCCTCTACCCAAGATACCACATCCTCCACTGTGGTGCTGCTCTGGCCTCCCTGAGGTCTGACTGGCCACCAGATCCCACTGTCACTAGCCCATGCTTGCCTTGAGGATATAGAAGTCAAACCCATAGGCTTCATCGATGAGGTCCAGAGTCCGCATGGTCACAGTCACAGAGAACTTTTTGTCTAGGATCTCACTGTAGAGCTCACGTTGAAACAGCTGTGGTTTCCACACCTTCTTCACCCTCTTTGAGAGCTGAGGTGCAACAGAGATCTGTGAGTGCTGCTGCTTCTCCCTGGTAGGCTGGGCCTGTGGTGTTCCCCAAGTCCTCATGCTTTCAGGAGACAGACTCCACCAACCACTGGGAATGGACAGAGGAGCCCCAGCCTAGACCTGGCTGCTCACTGGAGGTTGGCTTCCCCCATCCTTACCCCAAGATTGCTGGTGTGTATGCTCCAGAGGAACACACAGCTTTACACAAGAAAGCTAGACAAAGAGTAGCAGGGGAGGTGTCACGGGAAATGTGTTCTCTGAAGCCAGCAGCAGAGTCCCAACAGAAGCAGACTCAGGAGCCAGGCTGCATCCCTTGCAAAGAACCCGACTCTGGGTCTCAGCCTTTCTAATTCTGCCCACAAAGGAGCAACGCCAGCCCTCAAGTGTCACAAGAATTAGCATCCCACGGCCGAGCAAAGCAGGCGGGTGACCCCCGACCTCCCCTCCTCCCACTCTCCTGAGCACACAGGCCTCACCCCCTTCCTTGTTTCTGACCTAGCACCACCCCAGCGCTGTCGCCCGGATCCGGGCGCACCCACCTTGTCGCCGTTGACGTATCTGTAGCCCACGACCCAGCCCTCGCCTCCCCACAGCCCCTGCTGGGACTCGGGCGGGTAATAGATGGGGATGGGCACATCTTCCACGCGCTCCCGCTGCCCGTTCGCGGGGTTGACCCTGAACCGGGCGCCGTGGGGCCGGTAGTGCACGGGGGCGGGCGTCCGCGCGTCCTCCAGAGAGCGTAGAAAGTGCGCGGGCAGGCGCGCGCAGAGGCCTTGCTTCAGCTGTAGCTGCTTCCAGAGGCGGACCGGGAACCTGTGCAGCGGCATCGCCGTGCGCCGGTGACCCACGACTTGCTCCCAGCGGAGCCGGAAGTGCGGCAGGCAGCCGCGACCTCTGCTCGCCGCTGAATGGCCGCGAAGCCCGTCTGTCTAATCTCGTCCCGCCTCCTTTCTAAGGGACCAAGGAAAGAGCCGGGCAGAGTCGGCGGCGAATCAAGAAAGGCATCGTCGACAAAGTGTGGCCCAGAAAGGGCCCGCGAGGGCCGGTACGGGCAGGGCGGGGCTTGCTATCCTGGGCCTCGCCTCCTCCCGCCCAAGGAAGCAGAACAGGGGGAAAAAAAGTAGTGACTCAATTGGCTTGAAAAATCACTGTATAATATTAAATTCACCAATCACATAAAAATATGTCTTTATGCCTTGGAATATTTTACCCCCTGAAACACCATATATGCATGTTTCCCCTCTTAGAGGTTGAGAATGCTTTGGTGGCTGTGCGCAAGGTGCCTGGGGCTGGTGGAACTCCAGAAGACCTGGCCCTGGACAGGCCCAGAGAGAAAGCCCCCAGAGCTGGAAGGGCCGCCTCCTGGTCCTCGTCAGCACCAGCTTTCCAGGAGCCTTTTCCCCACTCAAAGGGAAACAACACTTAGGTCTGGGGGCAGAGCTCTCAGGAGCAGGAAGGCTGGGCTGGGTCTCCAGAGACTCCTCCCCAAGCTTCAGTGGGCCTTGTGCAGGGGGCAGCCCAAAAGGATGCTCACCAGACAAGGCAGGGACCTTGGAGTGAGCAGTACACAAGTGCCTTGCAACAGTGTGCCTCCTGGGGCCTTCAGAACTGCTGAGTAGCCTCCTCCCCAGGAGGCTCTCCTCAGGATGGTGGCTCCACTGCAGAGAGCAGGGGAAGGGCAGGGCTCTGCTGTATCCTTGGGGGTCAATCAGCTCTTTGGTGATCTTGGTTTCTCCCACTGCAGCTGCTGCCACTGGGGGGGGAGGGTGTCCCCATACCTGAGGCAGCTGGCATTCAGGGGCAGAATGTAAAGGATGCTAGGAATGCCCAGCTACCAGCCTCAGTGGACTGGGGTCTCTTTGGCCATGTGGGTCTCACATCATAACTTTACAGGGGAACAGGGAGTCTTCTCTACACCTCTGGCCATTTCAGGCCAGCAGAGCACATGGTACCTGTGGTTTCCAGGGGCCTGTAGAAATTGCTGAGACCTGCAGTGGACTTCAGCAGCAGAAGCAAGGGAGCTGGTTGAGTTGGGGAGTGGTGATCCCTCCTTCTAGAGGAGGGAGCTAAGGTCTCAGGGCAATTTTATTTCGTTAGGAACTAATTTGGACAGGGCTGGACAGGGCTCCTCTCCCTTGGTCCTGCTCCTGACTGAAGAAGTTACAGTAGCAGGTGTCCCCAAGCTGGCTACGTCAAGTCACTGTGTATAGCTCATCCTGATTGTTCTTGCAGATCTGATAGTGGCAGGGGAATTTCTGTGAGCAGGCCCAAGGCTCAGTCTGCTCCTCCCGTGGTGGTAGCAGGAAAGCTGCGCTCCCAGCCAGCAGTATGTGCCAGATGCTGTGAGTGTAGTAATAGTTGTCACTGGTCATCATGGAGGTATAGATGGCAACGCCCATAGAGGCCATGGAGATACCAGGTAGGAGGCAGAAGGCCCAGCGCTGCCATGACGTCGGGTAGCATTGGTGCCGGTGCCTGCAGCGCTGTACCTGGAGTAAACAGCCATACAAGTGTTGGCATAGCCTGGCTGCTCCCAAGAGTCCAGCACCAGTGGTCGTGGGGCTGCCCAGATGTGGGCAGCAAAACCATGAGAATGGGTTGCTGAGAGGGATCAAGGGTACATGGCCACTGGTCCTCAGACCCAGGTCTTAGACACAGTCAGGCTGGGCTTCTATAGGTGCCACCAGAAGCCCTCAGCAGAGGTGGGGCATTTGGGTCCTAGAGTGGATAGTAGGAACAGGACTGAGTGTGAGGCTGTCTGCTTCTAGAGCCTGCCCTGGATCCTTACCCACATGAAGGCCATGATCATAAAAGCAAAGAGGCAGGGCCCCATCATGTTCCAAATGCCTCTGCGATCTAGCTGCAGGGACATGGCGATGACCAATGTGCCCAGGAGAAACAGGACCTGGATGAGACACAGGAATGACTGCAGAGTCATGACATCTTGGACTGGGGGATGGCACCCAGCATGACAGGCAGACAGGTACATGGGCCATCCGTTGCACCCCATTACCCTCCTGCACCTCTGCCCACCCCACTTGGAGCTGCTGGCAGAATTTGCTCTGCTCTGCCCAGGAAGAGGGAAGTGTCCTCCTCCAGGTCCTGTAGAATGGCCGCAGGTGAACACTGGCTAGGCACTGGAGGGGAACTGACTTTGCCTGGCAGGCCCCTCCAGGGATGAGGTGGTGATGCCCCTCTCTGAGGAAGGAAACAATCTGGACAGCCATATGTGGCAGCTCTGCACCCATACACTCGCCTGCCCCCTCACCCCTAGGTTTCAGGGCAGCCTCAGTCCTCCCCCAGATAGTTCCTATGGGGGACTCCCACCCCCAAGTCTCTGTCAGACGCCTCTGCTCACAACCTGCAGGTTCATGGCCCAACACTCAGCCCAGCCGGACTCCCACACTTTGGAGCTTTCTTCCCTCAACCTCTGTGCCTTGACCATAGGGTTTCCCTGGTGCCCCTGGAGGCAGTACCTAGAGCAGACCTGGCAGAAAATATAATTCACGGGAACCAGAGACTCATCTCACTGGCCAGGTCCAGCTGCCGTGTAAAACCTCCAAAGTGTCCTGCACATCGGGGAACCCAGGAGCATGGCGGGGTTTCTTAGGGAGGCCTGACCTGGGGTGGGCTCCTCTGTGAGCAGGGCCCAGACAAGGGCTGAGGGCCTTGCATAACCCCACTCAAGACCTTGTTCCTGGTGTCCTCTGACGGCCAGAATTCTTTCTCCACAGCTGCTGCGGCTTCTTCTGAGGATAGCTGACAGTCATGTGAAAATCAAGGCTCAGGGCCATGACTATCCACTGCCTACTGCCTTGTGCAAGCTACATATAAGGGCCTATGCTTCCCCAGAACCCAGCCCAGTCTCAGGTCACTCACGTGTTTCAGGACTGTCTTCAGCCTGGCCATGCAGAGGATCGTGACCCAGGTGGACACCCCAGAGCCCAGGAAGTCGCAGTACTGCAGTGTGTCATAGCTGAGGATGCACAACACCGCCTCCCCTGGCTGGTCACAGGCGTGGTAGAACTGCCAGATGGGGCAGTAAGCAGCAGCCCAGACATCCCCCCCAGGGGTCCCCAGAGGGGTGGGACATGCCTACCGTGGAGAAGAACATGGTGTAGAAGTAGACAGAGGCCTCCACTAGGAAGGCACGCTGCACAGACAACATGATGGGGACCAGGAACATGAGGTTGCTCAGGGTGAGCAGCAGTGCGGCCACCTTCTGCTGGGCCACCGTCTGGGCCGTGCTGTTGTCAGTGCAGCTCCACCCACGCCAGCCTGGGGGCCATGCAGTGTTCAGGGGCCTGAGGCAGGTACCTGGGGCCAAGGCTCCAAGTGGGAAGCCTTCTGAATTCCAGATCCCTACCATCACCCAGGTGCAGACTGCACAGGTGTGGGTAAGAATGGGCAGGTGGGGACAGGTGTGAGCAGGTGTGAACAAGTGGGGGCAGGTATAGACAGGTAGAAACAGACATGGACAGGGAAAACAAGTGTGGGCAAGTACGTATAGACATGGGCAGGTATAAGTAGGCCAGGGGTAGGGGAGCCAAGGTCAGCAGATAGGACTACCCCTGGAGACACCTCACTGTTTTTGCCTAGGCGGTGGATCACAGCAGGCATGAGAATGGGGAGAAACCATTTGGCCCTGCTTTGCCTGCATGGGTCCTCTCTGCAGTCCTGGTGAGGCTTCCACAGGGGATGTACAGGGCTGGGATACCAGTGTCAGCAAAGATTGTCCCTAGGTGTGGAGGTCCCAAGCCCTTACCTGCCTTGCAGCTGCAACCTGCATACAGGTAGCTATATCTTCGCAGCAAGAGGCACTGGCCATAAGGTCCGCAGTCATTCAAACATGGCACCAGGTACAGTACGGTCTCTACATGGACCATGGCCTGTTCACAGACCCTGAAAGGAGGGGACATGAAGAGGTTGACCGCAGCCCTTTACAGCCAACTTAGCACCACTGCTCCCAACAGGCTCATGGACAAATGAACCCAGAATTGAGCTCCAGGTTCCAACAGCCTGGACTGATGCTCCTTCCCCCTGCCAGGGCTGCCATGGAAGGGATGGCCAGGCAGAAAGGGGGATCCACCCTGACACATGGAGACAGTAATTCCTAACTTCTGTGGGGAGCCAGGTTTCTCCCACACTCCCCATCCTGTGACAGCCACTGGTCTCAGCTCAGTTTACATACCCAGGACTCTCAGGGCACAGGAGCTGCAAGGAGAGGTACCAGCTGCTTGTCTCTGGGTAGGGGATGATGAGGTTGGCCACAGGAGAGGAGGCACGCAGAGATAAGGGGTAACCCTGGAAGAAGGCTGCATGGAGTGGGAAGGCCCATCAGAGGGGATGGAGGGGTCGGCCAGTCACCCTGCCAGTCACTCTGCCAGGTGCTGCCTGCCCACTGTACCTGTGGTGCAGTTGAGTGAAGTGTTGAAGCTGAGGAAGGCTGAGGCAGCATTCACACAGGCCACCACCAAGGTGTCCCCTGAGACCTCAGTCTGGAAGGGGAAGCAGCACAGGGTTAGTCCCCTGGAGATGTGGCATGGTGTCCCTCCTAGCACAGTCTCTCTTTCCATTCAGGGGATGGAACCCAGAGCCTCGAGGGAGCCTGGGAAGTGCTTGAGTGTCTTTCTTGAGGCTCCTGCTGGATCAGGGCTTACCCCAAGCCTTCCCTCCTGGACCTGCCTCCAGCTGTCTCTGATCCTAGTGACTCCATAGCCCCTTCCTCAAGCTCATCTCTGGAATCTGCTGACAGGGCCAGGCTGCCTCATGCCTGTTGGTGTCACTGTCACCCAAGAGGGTGCCAAAGTCAGTGCACAAAGGCCTAGGTAGGTTATCCAGTACCCTGAGCCAAGTCTGGGCATTAGCCACTTGCAGACAGGCCCAGCAGGCTATCAGGACAGTACCTTGTTGACCCTCAGGGTGATGGTGAGGGAACCCCCACTGTCCATGCCGGTGTCAAGGCGGAGCCGCAACAGGGAGGGAGCGTCAGAACGCACCAGCACCGAGATCCCGTCCATGGGCTGAAAGCGCACAGAC